CTTAACCAACAGCTAATTGGTAAGAAAATGCCAAATAAAGAAACAAAGGAAATCATCTTAATTCTGTGTTTTGCAGCTGCTGAGAGTCTATTTGAAAAAAAAAAAGCAAACAAAAAATTTTAAATGAAACCAAAAGGCAGTTCCAACTTTTCTCATGTTCTTTTATAAAAAAGATGGTTATTTTTATTGGAAAGGCAGATTTACAGAGAGGAGAGACAGAGGTAAAGATCTTCCATCCGCTGGTTCACTCCCCTAAGTGTTTGCAATGGCCAGAGCTGAGTTGATCTGAGGCCAGGAGCTTTCCCTGGGTCTCCCACGCAGGTGCAGGGCCTAATGACCTGAGCCATGCACTGCTTTACCAGGCCATATGCAAAAGCTGGATCAGAAGTGGAGCACCCCAGACTCAAAAGGGCAAGAGAAGGATTAGCCTGTCATGCCACCACTGTGGCCTCTCAGGCTGTAGCTCCTTGTCCCACTTGCCCCAAGTGATGTAAAGCAAGTGACTCTCGGAACTAAGGACCATCCTGCCTTTCACATCTGGTTGGTGAAAGGGAACAATTGTCATGCAAGAGCAACTTCGCATTTTAAAAGGTTCAGAACGGATTCTCATGAAAGACTGTTGTACAGATTGTTACAGAAATCTAAATTACATTTGTACTAAGTATTCCTGTAATCTGTAATTCCCTAGCATTAATCGTATAATTCAGGCATATTATGGGTTAAACAGGCTTTAGTGGGATGTCTGAATCTAACCACTGGGCATAATCAATGTCATTCTAAGTGAGGGCAATCAATTCACAAACACTCAACATTATAGAGCTGAATATGATAAAATTAAAAAAGAAAACAAAGTTCTTAATTTTATAAAAAGTGCCCCCTTAAGGGTCATTTATTTCTAAAAAATAATTAGGTACTCAGACATTCAGCACAGAATTTAATAGACATACTTTTAAACCATTATTTCCCTGGAAAACTTACATCAAAAATGATTAAATGCATTTCTCTATTCATCTAGTTTAGGAAAAATAAACTAATGCACATTTTCATGAAATAAATGACAAGAACATTGTTTTTGACATAAGAAAATTGTTAATATCTTTCATAACTGAAAGACTGACAAAATATATGTGATTCGGTATACAATGCTACTTTTAAAATGTGGGTAAAAAGAATTATTTCCAAACAGCTAATATGGAGTCTAAAAACTCTCCAAATATACTTTTCTTATTTCAATTGAGTAGCAGCTTTCTGTTTCATCATTTATGAGGCTTGACACACGCACTTTTCCCAAAATGTCCATCTAGTTTGTTAATTCAAAGGATATTCTTCACTCATTCGATTTAACAAAGGAAGCCAAGCTCCTACTGTTGCTGAACAGTGTGCTAAGCAACAGGTCAGTCCCTGTCCTCAGAGCTTCCAAGACTTCTCAGTGACCACATCTGTCCACATGACAGTGACAGCCAAGCTTTATCTATCATGTAAGAAATCAACACAAATGGCATCAAATTAATTCCCCACAAAAACTGTGAAATAGTAACTTTAAAGACACTTTAGCAGTTCTATCATCCACTTGAAGCTTTCCCACAAAACAACTATGAAAGTACTGTTTTGGTAAAAGGTCCAATAATGTAATCTTTTAAAGAGTAGTTTTGCTGGGAAAAAAAAAACAGTTATTAATGCTACATAAGGAAGTTAGAAGGTATGATGCAGTATAACAAAAAGCAAGCACATGGAAAAGATAAATTATTTCTAAATTATAGCAAAATATAAAATTAAACATAAATACCAATGTTTGCAATATCAAATAATAAAGTAGTTCCAGCTCATACTTCACACACAAACACAAATAGATTTTGGATTGTGTCATCCACACATTTAAATGAAAAAATTAAGATTTTCTAGATAGTTTATTTTTTCAAATTAAATTCAATATTCTACTTATTCATTAAGTCATAATTTCTCCATCAGTATTAATTACATGTAACTATCATTTGTAATACTATATTTAGTATAATACCTAGTACGTCTGCAATTATTACAAAAAACTTTGATAAGTGAGAAGCATTCAATTCTTCAATTTAGAAGACTGTCTTTAGTTATCTCTATGAAACAAAATAAATGTAAATCAGCCATTCTAACATGCCAAGGAAGACCTGTAATACATTTTCCACTGCATTTTCTCACTGAAAAAGTTTCATCGTTTATCAGCTATTTCACTAAAAAAGTGTCACCGTTTATCAGCTATTTAAATTTTCTTTTAAAACCACTTGTAAAAACCTCTTTGCTGACGCTCTGCATACAGCCTGGTGGAGTCAGTGCACTCTAGCTGCATGTACATATAGGAAACCAAGATGCACAGGTATCCATTTTGTAAAGTGCAAGGTCATTTCTCCAGAAAGCAACTGACTGCACATCACGAACATATGTGTGCCACTTGCAGGTGCCAGAAAGCAAGGCTGTACTTTGCTGGCTGCCCCCGGTAATGCATGCGTCTGTGCAATCAGTTAACAGAAGAAACTTAAACAAGGGGAAACGGGAAGGGAGGGTTATAACCCTCAAAAAAAACCACTTCATTGGGGGTAGTGAATTATTTATTTTTAAATGATGAAATGTAAGTGGTTTCTAACAGAAGCATCAAGTAGCCAACATTTGCTTCTTACATTTGCAAAAAAAAAAATAAATAAAATACTGCATCCCTCGAGCAGATCATGTAAAACCGCAACTTCACTATCCTTGTAGAAAGAAGTTAGAAACCCAAGATTTCCCTAATTAAATATTCAATATTATAAAGAAAACAGCTGAATAAAAAAATAAAATTCAGTCCAATTAGGGTATGATCGATAATGGTAGGTAAAAACCCCACCTTAATTATTAACACTTTTCACTCAACTAAAGCTATGATTAGCAATCAAATACTCCGCTGCTGAAGACTAAATACGAAACTTTTCTCTTTCAAAACTGGAAATGTCAGGTACATTATTCAAATATGCAAATAAAATATTTTCCCAACAGAAACTTAAGGATTAAAAAAAAAAATCTGTTCTTCAAGAGTTTAAACTGAAGATTGCCTGTGGAGATTGACAGCACTATTTCAACTAGAGAAATGAAAGTTACCTACGATACACACGCGACAGAACATGAGTTGAATAGGCAATACATCCATTACATCAGTGACAGTACAATTTAGCTGACACCGAAAATAAAACAGAAGAGAAGGCAAGGTACATCCTGGACAGAGAAGCAACCGGACTGAGCCGTGCTGAAGGGGGGATGCTAAGCTGGGGGCTTAATGAATGACTAGGACGGGTGGCCCGTGGTCAGCTCGGCCGTGCTGTCATCCTGATGGCAAGAGAAGGTGGCAGAGTGCGGAAGCTAGGGGGCACGCTGTAGCCAGGGGAGAAGAAAAACGCGAAAGGTGCAATGGATGCTGCATAGTTGAATAATTATCTGGGTGGCACAATGGGCGAGTCTGCCGACATCACAGCCGAGCCAGCGACTCCCCAACTCTCGCCCGGGGCACCCCCCGCCCCATGACAGCAGGCAGCAGGAACCACCGGGCATCGCTTCGCCTGCTTAGCCTCCAAGGAAAACCCGGGCGCCCGCAGCCGCTTTACCCATCTATCTCCAGACACGGACGTGCGGCGCAAACACGCAAACTCACCAGCCGGCTGCACGCACCGCGGGCCCGGGGCTTCTCGGCCGCCCGAGGCTGCAGCAGGGGCGGGCGGCACGGCTCCGCCCGGCGGGGTCCGGGAGCCCCCCAGCGAGGGGCGGCTCGGGGGAGCCCCGCAGCGACCCCCGGCCCCTCCGACCACCCAGAGCCCTGGGCACCAAGCCCCGGGCCGCAGGCTGGCTCGGGCAGAGCCGCGCGTGGGGGCGGGGGCGGCGCGCCCACCCATCCCCGCCGAGAGCCACACACGACGCCTGCTCTCGGCTCCGGCCGCACACACGCACGCGAGGAAACCATCCTTGAGAGACTCGCGCTCACCGTGAGATCGTGGCGGCTCGTGCCTTTTTTACCCCTTCTTCATGCTTCGGCGGCCGCCGGTCCCACTCAGCTTCCCGGGACTCCACCGGGACCCCCGCCCCCGACCCGCCCCACGAACGGCAGGCAGGTCCCCGGGCTGGAAGCCGCCCGGGAGGGCAGCGGCTCGAGGCGCCGGGCCGCTGGGAAACGCCGCCCGGGGCGCCCGCCGCTCGCCGGGACCCGCGCTGTGCTCGACGCGCGAGCGAACAACACCGCGCGAGCCGCCGCTGCCTCGGCCGCCCCCTCCCCGCGCGCGACGCTCCACAGCCGGGCGCGGGGATCGGCGCCAGGAGCAGGGGGGTGCTGAGCGCGGGACCCTGGGCGCCCGGTGGCCGGTCCTTCCGCCCGGCACCTATCCCTGCTCAGGGACAGGTCCTCAAACTCGAGCGTCTCCCTCTCCTCTGCGGCGCCCAGTGCCCAGGTGTCGCGGCGGTGGGAAAGCAAGCCTCCGCCCACACGCCCGTCCGTGGGGGTGAGGAGCGCGCTTCCCCCCCTTTCCCGAGGCTCTGTGGTATTACCCGATCCTCGGTTTGGGGGAGGGGGACGGAGAGAACCCAGCTTGGCCAGGGAATGAGGGAAGATGATAGCCAATTGAATGAACCATCCATCCAGGGGCGGGGCCCCGGAGAGGCCCGCCGGCCCAGCCCCGCCTCCTCGTTCTAAACTACATTTCCCATCGTGCCTTCTAGCCCTTCCCGCCGCGCTGCTCGCCGGGAGCGAGTGGCCGCAAGGCCTCCAGGTATTTCAGCACTGGTAGTTTTTCCATTGAGCTCCAGGCAGGTCCTGGAAGTGAGTAGCGGTTAAAAATTCTTTGTATCCGTAACTGGATGTTTCCAAATTCTCAGTTCGATATACACTATCCTAATAGTCATAATTATATTATTGTTTCAAAATGTGCCAAGGAATTCCTGTGCTAAGGAGGTAAAGAGTGTGTTTTTGTGGCGCTCTGCCAGGACTTGGGCGCCGCTTCCCCTTCCGCCCCGGCCTGGTGTCCGCAGAGGCTGAGTTGCCGTCATGTCGGCTGCGATTGCGGCTCTGGCCGCTTCCTACGGTTCGGGTTCGGGGTCCGAATCCGACTCGGACAGTGAAGGCGGTCGATGTCCGCTGCCAGCCGCCGACTCTCTCATGCATTTGACCAAATCGCCGTCGGCCAAGCCGTCTCTGGCCGTGGCGGTGGACTCGGCTCCGGAGGTGGCAGTGAAGGTATGCGCTTTGGCCACTTTACTGATGCGGTGCGGGAATAGTTCGGTCGCGTTTAGGCCTCTTGCTCGGTTTCCAGAGAGAAGTTGCTGACGTTTAGGTCCCTTCTCCGTCCCCGTGCGCCTTTCCCCGGAGGAGCCGAGAGGTGGACGCTGGGGGTCCCCTACTCCGCCCCCCACGGTCTCCTGCTTGCTTACCACCAGAAAGCAGGTGGGCAGAGCGGTGAGTCGGGACGAGGCCGGGCTGCAGCAGGTGTAATCTCAGGACAGGAGTAAACTATGGCAGAAGTTGAACAACTTCAGAGTACCGAGTGCGCAGTGACCTGGCTGGCTTTGTCCTGATGTAAGAACCAGGTTCTAATCCCTGTGCCTGCACTTGGATGAACTGGGCAAGTTGGCCAGCCTCCTCTGTGAGCCCCCAGGAGATGGTTTTCAAAGCGCCAGTCTCTTTGAGAGGGTTATTGTGAAGCTTGAGTAAAAGGACAGCTTGGTTTATACAGTAGTTAAGTAGTCTCTGGTGTAGTTCAGTTAGTGTTAGCTATTGTTGATGATGTGTTAAGATGGGAAAACGGCCTTGGATGTCAGGAGGAGCAAGTACGATACCCTGGGAGGAATGTGGGAAAGGCAATCATGGGGTTTTAGAGTTGCTTGGCCCAGTATGTGTGGAGGAAATGTTACTTTCCAGGAACGGTGCAGAAGAGGGCTGCAGGCACCAGCATAGCTCGTCAGCGAAGCGTAAGTGATGGAGTGGGCTCAGAGTGGAGTAAGCCCTGCAAAGAAGGAAAACGGAGTTGGGTGGCAGAGTGAGGAAGGTGTGTGATTCCCGCCAGGTTGTCAGGGAGAGCCCTCTCTGGCTTGACAGAGCTGGAGGCCAGATGCCATGACAGCTGAGAGCTGCTGGCAAAACCGAGGCGGCAGCGTCCAGCAGGTGTGGACCACCAGAAGCTTCAGCTGTAGAGGGCTAGGAGGGCAGTGGACAAAGTTGCCTTTTTAAGATGTCTCAGTCAAGTGTTCAGAGAGTCTTTTGCAGGTTTTTAGTAGTCCGTTTCATTTTATTTTCTATTCATTGACGTCTGCTGTGAGTGATGGCTTAGAATCCTCCCATCTTTTCTAGCACATTCTTTACACCTCAAGCCTGTTCACGACCTCCCTGATGTTTATTCCTGTCACAGCTCAGCCTTTGGCAGCTGTTCTTCCACCTTTCGGCTCATCCCAGCACAGTCTAACCATCACCCCTCCTGAGTGATGCGCGGGGCCTTGGATCCCTCAGGTGATACTCAAGTTTCTTTTCCACTGACCCCCATCCTCAGCCTTCTCAGTATTGGGGTCCCCAGAACTCTGCCCTATATCCTCTCTCCTATCTTTGGCCTGTGTCTGTGCTTGAGCTCACAGATGAACAGTGGAAGTAGGCTGCACAAGAGGGAAGGCTCCTGGGAGCCCATCCTGCCTCCAGCACATAGACCCATGGTGGTCGTGGAGAAGTTCCGCAGGTGCTGTGTGCTGATTGTGTGTTGGTGAAGGCCACTAGTACCCATCTCACAGTTCTGAGGCTTATCATAAAGCACATAGCGAGCTTTATGCATACACCAAACACTGAATGTTAGCTGTCATTATTTCTGTGTCTAAACTCATGGCTAGTTTAAGGGTGTAATCAATAGCTCCCCTTAGAAGTGTGTGTGGGGGGGGGAGGGGCTAGTGTTGCAGCTTTGTGGGTGAAGCCATCGCCTGCAGTTTTGGCATCCCATCAGGGTAAGCAGTTCAGTCGTAGCTGTTCTACTTCCAGTCCAGCTATCTGCAAATGGCATCTGGGTATGTAGCTGCACTGCCCAAGTGCTACACCCACATGGGAGACCCAGAAGAAGCTCCTGGCTCTGTTGTGGCCACTTGGGTAGTGAAGCAGCAGATAAAAGATCTCCATCCCTACCACTCTTCTCTGTAACTTTGCCTTTCGAGCAAATAAATCAGTTTTTGAAAACAAACAAAAAGCCAGCTTTTCTCATATGCCTCTCAGACACCCATTTGGTTGTGCTGAAAAATTCCATCTCTCTCTGCAGTCCACCTGTTAGTCCCGGTCAACAGGTCATCCATCCTTTTGTCTCCCTGTCAGCCCCTGCAGCTAGCTCGTCATGCAGCTGCACCTGACGTTGCTTCTGTCTGAGTTTCTCTCAAGTCAGTTCCTTTCTCTGTCTTGCCAGTCTCATTATCACTCGCTTTTTCCTTCATATTTTCCTTATTTCTCCAAGGAATTTGTCTTTTTTTTTTTTCCTGTTTGCCTCTGCTTGAGAATACTGGGTGCTTGTGTTTTGCAACTCCAGTTGCTTTCCTGCTCTACTACTCTTCAGTTCAGATGCCCATGGTTTCTCAAGGTGGATACAGCCGTCTAGCTGCTGGCTGGCCTCCCTCGGTCTCATCTCCCTGTTCCATACCCCAGTCTTCCCTCCGCAGTGCACCTGTATTCTGGTTTCATTCTGTCACTTCTCTGCCCAGTGTCTCCTGTGGCATGTAAAGTCTGCCATCCTCCCAGGCTGAGCTCTTCACAGAGCGCCCTGTGTTGGCCTCAGTTCTGCCCACTCCAGTCTCTCTGCTTGGAAATCCCTTGCCTTCCCTGCCTCCTGTCCCTCTTGGTCTTGGTACACATGTTTCCTTCCCTGCCTCTCCTAGCACCCGTTTCATGGCTCAACTGCATTGTGGCATGTTATTGCTGTGACCTGTTAAATTTCTGCTTTCTCCTGGATGGAGAGACCCAGCCACCCAGAGATTGTAATGTCTACTTGTTAATGTCTCCAACACCTTGGGCACAAACTCGGGGACTATCTGGTAAGAAAATGGAATGTAAGAGTGAGTGAAAAGGAAAGACTTGTGAAAGTACACACTGAGAGTGAGTTTTCGAGGGGAATGGGGACCCCTGTCACTGTCTCCTTTCAGTGACTGCTAAGTAAGGAAACCCAGAGGAAGGATTTGGAGTGCATGCTGTATTAGCAGCAGAGCTGGGGCTGGCCCTCCCAGCACTCTGGGATCTGTGGTAAAATAAAAGCCATTGCTTATTGCTGGTTTGTAAACCAACTTTTGCTTCTATGAAGAAGAAAAAAAGCTTACACATGGTAAGCATAATTATTGCAATTAACTGGAGAATTGAGAAATGATCAGATGAGGAGATGTGAAGCATGCAAATGAATTTATGCAAATATTACACGTGTTGACTATTTGTATTATGACTAATAGCAAGTTTTAAAGCCATTTGTCACTAAGCACTGATGCACATTGAGTATGCTTTTTGTATTTATTGTTGGTGATTATTTTTTTAGGGTGGCTGCTGGCTTATATTTTTCTTTTTGATTTATAGGAGATCTTATACATATTCTACAACCTGTCCCTTTGTTAATGTGTGTGTTGTGAAAGTCTTTCAGTTTATAGTCGCTTGTGCTCTTTTCAAGACACTTTTATAAGCAGTTGTTGATTTGGCCTAGTTTTTTAAAAATTAGTCCTTTTTAGATTGTGATTTTTCTTTGAGAAATTCTTAACCCAAAATCATGACAACGTTCTCCCTGTATTTTGAAAGCATTATATCTTTCTTTCTTACACTGGATCATTAATCCACAAGAAGTTAATTTTTGTCATGGAATGGTCATTGCTAAGGGTTTGGCTTGATGTTTGATAGTGCAGTAAGTCCTCCCTTTTCTTTATTGTTCAAGAATGCAGTAGCTGTTCTTGGCCTTGTATATACAATTTAGAATTAAGTTGTAATTAACCTCTAATACCAGGTGGAATTTTGTTTTGAGTTTTTATTGGATTAGAGGTTAGTTTGGAAACAGGGTAGTATCTACTCATCATTTTGTCGTTATTATTATTTGAAAGGCAGAGTTACATAGATGGAGAGGCAGAGAGAGAAATATTCCATCTGCTGGTTCATTCCCCAAAATGTCCTAACAGTCAGAGCTGTGCCAGGCTGAAGTCAAGAGCTTCCTCCAGAGCTTCCACATTGGTGGGGAAGGCCCATGCATTTGGGCCATCCTCTGTTGCTTTCTCAGGGTGCTTTGGCAGGGAGCTGGATCTGAAGTGGAGCAGGAAAGCAGTAGAGGATGGCTGAATGCCTTGGGATCCTGCACCCATGTTAACCTGCTACTGCTTTCTTAGGCACAATAGCAGGGAACTGGGTCTGAAGTGGTGCAGCCAGGACTTGAACCAGAACCCATAAGGGATGCTAGCACTGCAGCAACAACCTTACACTTTATGCCAGAGTACTGGCCCTGAAATTGCACTTGTAAGTAACCCATGGGCCATAAAATAGAAGGTTAACGTAAAATATTTTGAAATGAGCAATAATATATATTAGAATATGTGAGATGCAGCCAGAGCAATAAATCCTTTTACAGTATAGTCTTACATACACTAACAGAAAAGAAGGAAGGCAGTATGCATTTATTCCATTCTTTCCCAGCACTCATTTGTAAATTGCACAGTTTCTGTTCTTTAGACAGTTACCCCTAGAAATTACAGCAAGCTTGAATTACTGCCTTTGCTGCTGCTGAACAGTGTTAAGAATCTTAGTACCTCTAATCTATTCCTGTTTCCCTTACCTATACTTCAGCTACAGATGTCTGCTGTACATATATATGCACACATGGGCTCACCTACACGCATGTGCGTGCACACGCGTGCGCGCACACACACAAACACCCTCTGCTAGGTGATGGTCATTGAGATGGTGGTTGTTGCATCTCATGAGCAAGAAATCACTTTCTTTCCACTCATAGGACATCCTGAAGACTGTCCTGTAGTGATGATTGGTAACAAATGATTTCAGTTTTAGTTTGTTTAAAAAAATTTTTTTAAGTCTTCTTTTTTGAAGGCTGTTTTCACTGGACATAATTTGTTTAGCTAATTTTGTCTCAGCATGTTTCAAATATTCTACTGTCTTGAGATGTTCAGTGTTACCAATAACAAATCAGCTGTCAGTGTAGCTGTTTTAACTTTGAAAGTGACTATTTGGGGCCTGGCACAGTGGTTCAACAGGCTAATTCTCCACCTATGGTCACTAGCTGGCATCCCATGTAGATGCCAGTTCATGTACCTGCTGCTGCACTTCTAGTCCCACTCCCTGCTTGTGACCTGGGAAAGAAGCAGAGGGGACCCTGCACCCACATAGGAAACCCTAAGGGAGTTCCTGGCTCCTGGTTTCTCATCAGTTCAGCTCTGGCTGTCTGTTGCCACCACTTGGAAAATGAACCAGCAGATGGAAGATTCTCTGTGTCTTCCTCTCTCTGGATAACTGCCTTTCCAATAAATAGATAAATCTTTAAAATAGAGAGATTTTAGAAATGCTGGTAATCTGCTCCACTTTCTGGAAATAGAAAAAGAAACAAGGCATAAATTGGTTAAAATTTCCACATAATAATGAGTAATATTTGTGATCTGTGCTACAATTTTCTAATTTGTACACAGGAAGAAATGTTAAAGGGACTGAACAAGTAAATAGTATTAGGTTTTGTTCTCAAACTATTTCGAAAATATAAACTATGCACACTTCCCTGACCCCCTAGGATACCACTTACTGCACTTTAATTTTTGAAAATAATTGGGTAAAAATTCTTGTTAAGCCTGACATGCTTGATTGATACTGAACTCCTTTCTATGTCCGATTTGTCCAAGTTTTCCTAATCAGATGTAAAATTAGCAACCCTTCACGTTTTTGAAAGTTATTTAGTTGGTTGTGCGATTTTAGTAAGTCCTAGAAACTGGAACTTATTTGTAATATTTACTAGTCATCATTATTGCTGATATCAGTGGTAATAATTTTTAAGTTATACTTTATGTTTACAAGTTGATGAGGCATTATATTTTGTTCAAAATGATTCAAATTTAGAAAATTTTAAGTACCCATAATTTGAAAGACCTGATAACCCATTTTATAAAATGGTTCTGGCAACAGTACTGTAGGAAATCCATTGGGAAGGAGTTAATGTGACTAAGTCTGTGGCTGTTTGAAGCATATTCTGGCATTAGCATTTGAATATTATGTAGTCTTTCAACTTCATGGTCCAGGGTTTGCTTTTGGGTCCTAAGCAAGATGCAACCTCAGTGAAGATTCTTCTGCACCTTCTACAGTGAGGTATATTTATCATCTAGTAGGTGGCCCAGAGTTAGAACTGTCTTTGAAGAATCTTTGTAAAGAACACCGCTGCTCTCCACCTACCCTCAGAGGCCTGAACATCAGATTCTCCTCCCAGCTCTTTTAGCAGAGGTTGCAATGATCCTTTGTGGTCAGACGCACCCACTGAGCCTTGCCATCTGGAGCTAATCCACAAAGGAGCAAGAAAAGAGGATTTTTCAGCAGCATTGTCAAGTTTGTCAGGCTGCAAGTTTGACCAGTAGTACCCGTTGGTGGCTGTGGCATTCTAGTGGTGGTGATCAGTAAATGATTGTCCTCCCTGAACTGCTTCTGGGTTATGATTGATCTTGACTAGAGGGTTCATCTGTACACTCACCTCTGTTTCCTGCCTGCTTCTCAGAGCTGATTGACTATCCTAAGATCAACTCTGAAGGATCCAATAGTGTTTGACCAGGCCTTGAGAATTTCTGTTGCTTGCAGTAAAAACTCTGTTCTTTTTCTTGGCTCAGGGGAAGGCCCAGGCAAGGGAGGCCAGTTTGGACCATTATTTGTAAATGGTTGGATAGGCAGCCAGCCAGTGATTTTATATGGAGATGAAATTTTTCTGGTCATCAAACTAGGGAATGAATTGCAGAAGGTTGATAGATAACATGAAACTTTCATTCGGAAGACTCAGACCCTGCCACTTTTTCCTGTCTCTGTAGTATCCAACTGAAGATCTTCTGTTTACGTATCTAGTAAGTTTTGCTACTAAAAACTATGAAAAAGGGACACCTCTTCTGAATTTAGAATTGGGGGATCAGGTCTCCTGAGTTAATCAAAAGATTAGAAGGTTTGGTGACAGACGTTAGGCCAGCAAGGACGACTCCAGTGTCCCATATCTGAGTACTTGGCTTCCACTCTGAGCTCCAGCTCCTCATGCCAGCTTGCCACTAACATATCACAGAGGCACCAGGTGGAAGGAGTCTTGCCACCATGTGGTAGAACCAGAGTGAGTTCTTGACTTTGACATGGTCCAGTCCTGATTTTTGGGGGATGGAACTGTGTTTAGGGAATGGATGAGAGCTCTGTCTTTCTCTCTCTCTGCCTTTCAAATAATTTTCAAAAAAATTTTTTAAAGTGAGATGAGTTGGAATCTCTGTCTCTTTTTTTAAAGATTTATTTATTTTTATTGGAAAGTCAGATATACAGAGGAGAGACAAAGAGGAAGATCTTCCCTCTGCTGATTCACTCCCCAACTGACCACAGCGGTTGGAACTGAACCGATCCAAAACCAGGAGCCAGGAACCTCCTTCAGGTCTCCCACACAGGGACCCAAGGCTTTGGGCCATCCTCCGCTGCTTTCCCAGGTCACAAACAGGGAGCTGAATGGGAAGCGGGCCCGCCAGGACATGGACCGGCACCCGTATGGTATACCGGCACGTGCAAGGCAAGAACTTTAGCTGCTATACTACTGCACCCGGCCCTCTCTGTGTCTTTTAATGTTCTATTTTTCTCATGCTAGGAATCCTCACATTATATATAGTAATTTTTAAATAGTTGAGCCAGTCTTATAAAAAAATTGATAGCATTTAGAAAGAAAAAGTGTGCGCTAGATTTATATAGCTTAATCATTGTGGGAATTAGTAATCACATATTAATATAATAATCACAAACAAGGTTAAAATGGCTTGTGACACTTTACTGTGACATCGTAAATAAAATAATCCACAGCAGATCCTTAATACCATTTGGTTTCCTTTTAGGAAGATTTGGAGACTGGAGTTCACCTTGACCCTGCTGTGAAAGAAGTTCAGTATAACCCCACGTATGAGACCATGTTTGCTCCTGAGGTAAGCAGGTTTAAAAGTTTGCCTTTCCCTGTTGATTCAAATTACATACATTGGTAAGTGAATAGCTGGTGAATGCCTTAAATGTTTTCTCTCAAATGAATTCCATTTAGACTTTTAGAAAATATATCCATTTATCCTATAAAAGTTTGAATAATACTTTGTGAGAATAATCTTGATTAAAAAAAAAAAACATACACTAGCTGCCTGTCAACATACAGTGATCTGTTAACATTTTGGGAAAGGAAAGCTGAAGACACCTGGCTGTTGGAGGTGGACTGAGCTGACATCTTTCTCTCAGCATTGACACAATGTTACTGAGTAGCCATAAAGGGAAAAGGTTTGTTTTATTGCCATCACTGTGTTATTGACGTCACTGTGTATAGTGCATTATGAAGCAAATGCTTCTGAAATGTAACAGGAACACTGCTGCAAAGTAGGAACTGTGTTTGATGCCCATGTGAAGTAAAACAAAGTGTTGGGTTTTCTCCGAAAGGTACATGGTGATGCAGGAGTCTTTAAAAATGAAGATGGCATAGATTATTTAGAAATGGTAGATATTGTCCATTTTAGAAAACAGCACATTTCTAGATAGTTTCCCTTTTAGGATGGAAAAGAATGTTTGATGAAAACAGAAGTGCAGAATGCAATCATTTATAGAGCACATAATGCTTCTGTAGGAGAATCTTTAAGAAATGGAGTGGAGTGAAGAGTCTTTTCTTCTGTGTCTTGGTGGAAAATGATTCTTTTCTGTCATTTGTCAGCAGTCATTGCCCGTTTTGTGCTGCACCCTGGCCCTCGCACTCCCCCATTTGGCCTGCCTGGTTCCCGTGTCACTCAGAACCTAGGACAGCTGAAGTGCGTGCATGCCGAGGGTGCAGAGCTCGCCTTCCCACACTGCTCCACTGCTCCGGGTGTTCAGTGAGCAGAGAGCTCTTGCTGATGCACTGAGACTCAGCCCGGTCTAAATTTTATTCTGTTGTATCTTAAATCCTTCCAGCTTGTGCAACTGTGGGCTCTTTCATATCGCTTGGCACTGGTTTAGCCAGCCCATTGAAGACAAGTTATATATTACATATATAAATGCCTCATGACTTTTTAAATGAAATGTATTTCGGGAAAATAGAGTCGTTGAATTCAGAAAATGAGAAATGTGGAGATAGTGTGGCCTATGATATTCTGATGCTAGCTTCTTTTCTGCAAAGTCTGCTTTTCTGACATGTTTGAATTCTGCACGTAACTCATTCATTGATGTATAATTTCAGTTTTGGAAACTTTCCAGAAACAATTAAAAGATCGGTTCAGTTTTTATTCTGTTAATAAGGCAATGGACCTCTCTTTCTCTTTATGAGGTTATCAGTCTTTCAGCGTTCTGTTCTTTTTTTCCTATATTAGAGAGCCTCACTTTGAATATGTAAATTAGTTGACGTTAAGAACCAGACTTCTCATTAACAATTCAAGCAAGAGTGACTTACCAGGGAAGCAGAATCTTACTTCCTCCTGATTACCATGCGCCGTGTATGTGGCATTATGGATGATGGCTTGATGCTTTATGACAAAGAGATCTATCACTTTGCAGAGTGTAAAAGGATAGCTGAAGGAACTTTGTAAGGTTAGATTTAGGTTCCTACATTTTTCCAAATATAGATAGAATTGGTCTCCTCGAGCTGATGCTCACCAAAAAAGATGTGCCGTGTGTTTTGAAAAAACAGATGGCTTTTTTTTAAGATTTATTTTTATTGAAAAGTCAGATATACAGAGAGGAGGAGAGACAGAGAGGAAGATCTTCTGTCTACTAATTCACTCCCCAAGTAGCTGCAGTTTCCAGAGCTGTGCCAATCCAAAGCCAGAAGGGAGGGAGGGAGGGGGAAATTAGTTCCATGAAAGAAGTGTTCTTTGAAACAGATGATACTGGACCTGGCGCTGTGGTTCAAAAGGCTAATTTTCCACTTGCAAGCACTGAGATCCTGTATAGGCACCTATTCATGTTCCAGCTGCTCTGCTTCCCATCCAGCTACCTGCTGTGGCCTTGGAAAGCAGTGGAAAATGGCCCAAGTCCTTGGGATTGTGCACCCATGTGGGAGACCAGGAAGAGGCTCCTGGCTCCTGGCTTTGAATCAGCTCAGTTTCAGCCATTGCAGCCATTTGGAGAATGAACCAGCAGATGGAAATATTTTAGAGAAAAAAATAGATGGTGCAGTTCAGGTTCCAAAGAAGAGTTGTGGCATTAAATAGACAAGCTAGTTAGCACTTGTATGATTTTGGATGGTCTTTGTTTTCTCATAGGTAAAAAGAAGGACATTTTTATTGAGTTACAAGGATAAATGAGGTGATATATGATTACAGGTGTCACAGAATTGGCATTTAACAATGGTAGTCCTTATTGTTACTTGCATTAATGTCATTGGCGTTAAAGTGGCTAAGTAGGCTTTTATGAGGAAAGATTTCAAGCAAAAGTGAAGAGTTGGAACCTAATCAGGAAAGAGCTAAAGAAAAGGAGTACCTTGGCCGTCTTCAGTAGAGAACACCTAGGTGAGGCCAGTACCTCTGCTTTATGTGATGTTGTGTGGGGCCTTAGAGGTCTTACTTTAATAGATAAGTAGATTTCTAAGGTTCTTTAATGCAAGAATGGCATAAGCAAAGCTGAAGTTTTAGGAAGGTTTATTAATATGGTAAGCATTCATGTAATGGAAATGCATGGAGATAGAGACTAAAGAAATAAAGCTAACATTTCCTACTGTGGATCGGGTATGTGCTAAGGCATTTGAATGCCCTCTCTCCTTTAGCCTTCACTACAGCCTGTGAAGTGAGTACTCTAATCTTCTACTTTATAGTGAGGCAGCCTAGTCAGATCATATTCCAGAAGTAATGCAGTTGGAGATGGGTGTCCAAATTCACTTTATTTTTCAGATTTGTATTTACTGATTATTTCAAAGGCAGAGTGACAGACATGTTCATCTGCTGGTTCACTTGCCAAAAGACCACATCTACCAGGCTGGACCAGGCCCCAGCCATCCCCATTGCCCATACGTGGCAGAGGCTGAACCATCATGTTCTACTCTGCCAGGCATATTGGTAGGGAGCTGGGTTGAAAGCAGAGCAGCTGGCAACTGGAACTGGTGCTCCGATATGGGCTGCCATCATCTCAGGCATTGGCTTTAGACTTGCTGTACCACCACAGCAGCCCCAGATCAGATCGCCCTGGACCAGCTGCCTATAGCTGGAGGACCAGTCTAAAGGCCATGTAGAATTTGCAGGGTATAGTCATGTCTCTGACCTTGCTGCTTTTGAAAATTAAATTTCTTAATTTATTTTATAAAATGCCATTTCTGTCTCCAACCAGGCTTTTTCTAAGTGATCTACTTAATTGTTTCTTAAGTTTTCTCATATTGTGGATAGAACTAAGTTGAACAAAGTTGAAGATACTGTTTTAATCTGATGACCATGATTTCACTCGGTTGAATTTGCTAAGAAATAAACGTAGTTGTTAGATTCTTTAGCCTCACCTAAAATCCATAAAATTTTTGGTAAGAATTCCAGAGACCTTGAAGTAATGGTACTTTTAAGAAGGAAGAAGAGAGACAGACAGACAGACAGACACAAGAACTAGTAGTTACTAGGAGTCCAAAATGGTGCAGGCCTTTAGGATCAATGTTCGAGTCACTCCTCATAGTCTCAGCTGCTCCACTTCTAATGCGGCTCCTTGCCAGTGGCCTGGGAAAGCAGCAAAGAATGACGGCCCTGTTACTCATAGAGGAGATCCAGATGGAATTCCAGGCTCCTGGCTTTAGCCTGTGCTGCATCTTTTGCAGCTGCTTGAACCAGCAGATGGAAGATCTTTTTTTCTTTGTCCCTCTCTCCCTCTCTCTGTATCACCTTTGCTTTTCAATGAATAAACACATCTTTTAAAAAAAGTTTATGAAAATCAATGGAATGCGGTGAAGTCCAGAAAGAGAAGCACGTGTCCACAGGTGTTTGAATTTATGGTGGTTTGTGGTGGTGCTTGTCAAAGCAGAACAGTGTGGCTCACTCAACAAACTGAGGCACGACAAAAGCAGAAAGCGAAAAGACTAGCTGTCTCCTGTTTTATTCCGAGAATGCCATGAGTCAGGTGTGTAGCCTTCAGAAGGGAGGCTAGAGTATTTCTCTCTGGGAACTGTAAGTCTGAACAGATAAGGGGGAGAAAAATTACATACACACAGGGAAGGTTACTGATAGTCCCACCCGGATCACCCTGGTCTATCCCAGCTGCACGATGCATTTCCCAAGACCTTTCAAAAGTCTCCACAGCCAGACTGTTTCCCAGGCCAGGGAAATCTGTGACGGTAGCAGGAGAACCCAGAGGACCCAGGCAACCCAGGCATGTGTCATCTTTTTTTTACCATTCTTTCATAGGAACTACAGTTATTAGCTTTAGAGGTGACTGACACTGAGAGAGACTTTTAGTTCAGGCAAAGGAATTTATTAGGAGAGAGAGTCTGATGGACTGTTTCCTCCTGGAAGACAGCCTAGAACCCACTTCCATGTGGCCACCAAATGGCTGCCCGGTGTATGTGGTACTGGAGTTACATCTTAACTGCAGGAGATGGAAGAAGGTGGTATCTCCTCAGTTTGCGCATGTTTGCGCCCAGGAGCAAGTGATGTGTAGTACAAATTACTCCTCTACTCACCCATGCTGGGCTGACCTGATCCGGTTCCTACATGGCATTCCAGACATTCCCAAGATACAGAGTGGATCTCTGCAGCATTCACTCTCACTCTGCCTCATGCCAGCACCCTGCTCTGCCCACCTAGCAGTTATCTTCTTTCTTTATTCGTGTTCAATCTTTTCAGTGTTTTCAAAGAAACAACTTCTTGGAGTGAGGTAGGCAGCTAGTTCAGGGTCAGGAGCTTGGAAGCCACTCCCCACCACCACCTAGGTGTTCCCTCCTGCCCACCTGTGACTCTCACCTGTCATCACCTGGAACCTGAGATGGGAGACGGTATTGCACTGTTGTGTGACC